ACAGGTTGGACCTCCCTGGTCTGGAACCCCGGGGACCTGAGCTGTTTGGGACCAGGGAGTTTGCTGGACCATGATAGGTCCATGCTCCCCTGCTGGCTGCCTGGTCCTGGGCTCCTCACACTGCAGCTGGCCCTGCTAAAGCATGGCCCATCATGGCTGCCCCACCTTGTTGCCCACCTGCTGCCTCATTGTCTCCTGGGGTTCTCAGCAGGGACTGCTTGGCCATTGCCAGTCCTGCTGCCACAGGATGTTCTCCAGGGTTCCCAGCTGGGGCCTCCCAGCTGTCACTGGCCTTGCTGCCATCAGGGTTTTCCTGGGATCCCTGGCCAGGGCCACTCAGCTTCGGGCACTCCAGCTGCTGCCAGGGATTCCCCCTGGGTAGGGCTGGGAATCCCCAGCCACATGGCTCCGCTGACGCTAAGGGTTCCCCGGCCCGGGTGAAAGCTCCCCAGCTGCTGCCTGGCCTCGCTGATACCAAAAGTTCCCTGACATGGGCTCCCTTGGCCACTGGCTGGCCCCGCTGCTGCCGGGGGTTCCTGTCCAAGGTGGGGACTCCCCAGATGCCACCTGGCCCAGCCAGGGCCATATAGCCTGTGTTGCTCCTGGGCTCTTTGGTCCAGCAACAAACTTGGTAGAATGAGGACAATCAATGGGACAGAGTCATATCAGGGTACAAAATATATCGGAAAGACAGAACAGATCATGCTGGTGGGGAAGTGGAACGATATGTGAAAGAAAATGTAGAATCAAATGAAGTAAAAATCTTAAATGAACCAAAATGTTCCACAATCTCTATGGGTAGTAATTTCATGCTCTAAGAAGAATATAGCAGTAGGGATATATTATTGACTACCAGACCAGGACAAAAATTAGAGAGGCTATCAAAATAAAAAACTCAACAATAGTGGGGGATTTCAACTATCCCCATATATAATAAGGTAAACCAAAAAGGAGTTTGAAAAACAGCTAGCGAAAAACTCAAAAAGTAATAGCAAAATGTTTTTAAGTACATCAAAAGAAGCCTGCTAAACAACCAGTGGACTGGATGATTGAGATGCTAAAGGAGCACTCAAAGATGATAAGGTCATTGTGGAGAAACTAAATGAATTCTTTGCTTCAGTCTTCACAGCTGAGGATGTTAGGAGATTCCCAAACCTGAGCCATTCTTTTTAGGTGTCAAATCTGAGCAATTGTTCCAGATTGAGGTGTCAGAGGAGGTTTTGGAACAAATTAATAAACTTCATAGTAACAAGTCACTGGGACCAGACGGCATTCACCCAAGAGTCCTAAAGGACTCAAATGTGAAATTGTGGAACTAACAACTGTGTGGTTTGTAACCTATCCTTTAAATCAACTCCATAACTAATGACTGGAAGACAGCTAATGTGATGCCAACATTTAAAAAGGGTTTTTGAAGTGATCCTGGCAATTACAGACCAGTGAGTCAGTACTGGGGTGAATTAGTTGAAATTGTAGTAAAGAATAAAATTGTTATACACATAGATTAATATAATTTGTTGGGAAAAGTCAACATGGTTTCTGTAAAGGGAAATCATGCTTCACTAATCCACCAGAGTTCTTTGAAGGGGTCAACAAACATGTGGACAAGGGGAAATACAGTAGATATAGCGTATTTAGATTTCCAGAAAGATATCAACACCGGCTTTTGAGGACCTCCACCTGAAAAAAGAACTAGGGTAAGAAATATGATTTGTAACAATTTCTCTTAGTGTATTAGGTTTAGCTGGCGTGGTTTATTTTTTGAGGAGTTACTTTTGTTTTCACTTGCAATCACTTAAATCCTATTTTTATATTTAAATCACTTTTGATTATTTAATAACTTATTTAATAGGGTAGATAGCTTTTACATGGAGGTGGAGGGGCACAGTAGCTGTGCATAGCTCATTGATAAAGGGGGCAAACTTCATTAGATTTATCTTTGTAAAACTTTTGTACAAAGTAAAGGACATTTATTCAGGCATTTGGTCTTATTTGGGCCTGTGCTCCTGGGTGCTGACAGGTCCCTGTAACTGAAATGGCTGATGACATTCATGAGCAGTTGAAAGAATTTAAAACTGTTGTTCAGTTTGATAAATCAACAGATGTTTCAGGCTCAGCACATTTATTAGCTTTTATTTCATATAATTTAGATGCTACTGTTGAGGAAAACATGTTCTACTGAAAAGCACTCCCTAGCCACATGACTCGTTAATTTCTATTTAACGCATTTGTTGAAGCTACCGAATATTTTCAAATCAATTGGGAAAAAAGTATTGCTATATGCAGTGACGGGCGCCAAAGTAATGACTGGCAAGAATAGCAGGCTTTTTGCAAGATTAATATCAATGTCACATTTAATTTGGACCTATTGCTTCTTACATTGACAAACCCATGCTGCAAAAAGAAATGCCTTCTGAGTTGCGTCAGGTGCTAAATGAATCTTTACAAGTTGAATATTTCATAAAAAGCTGTCCTCTATCATCTCATCTGTTTCAGTTTTATGTGATAAATGGGCACACTTTTTTAAACTCTTCTTTTGCACACTGAAGTGAAGTGATGTGGTTCTCATGGGGAAAGTGTTAAACAGACTTTTTGAATTGCGAGCTGAAGTATTTATGTTCCCATAGGATGAAAGGTCTCTCTTTTCTAACTAATTCAGTGACCCATCATAACATTTTCATTTAAGCTTACTTAGCTAATGTTTTCAGTCATGAATGAGCTGAATATGAATTTAAGGATGAAACAGAAATGTTTGGAGACAAAGTGAGAGCCTTTGGAAAAAAAGCTTGGAACCTGAATAATTTCCTCTGAGTTGTGAATTCATGAAATTGTCAGCGACAAGAAGTAGCCATTAAACAATTTAAACACATTATGATTGAACATATACTCACATTTAAGCAGCAAAATGTTTACTCCCCACTTGATGTTGAACTTTGCAAGATGTGGATAATTAATCCATTTAATAAAAAAGAGTAGCTGAATCTGTCATATTTACAGGAAACCTGTAAGATAAATTGATCAAGCTTTCATTTGATAAAATGCATCAGTGTTCATTTCCATCAGAAGATGTGCACACAGTTTTGAAGGCACAGAAGCCTGAGTATCCTGAATTTGTAATTGAAACTTTGAGAGCTTTAATCTTCTTAGCAATATCGTATTTTTTAGAATTGGGATTATCCTCGATTATTGAGATAAAAACAAAGCAACAAAATATATCATCTATGGGAAATGACTTACTGATGAATGTTTCTTCAATTCAACCTAACAAAAAAGTTAGCTGATGCAAAAAAGGACTCCATAAAACTCATCATACATAAAAAAGTGAATCTATAGTTTTTAATGTAAAAATAAACATTGATTTGGCACAATTTTTTTCTCATGTTCATTTATTTACATACATCTGAATATTGCTTGTGGGCCAGTATTATTTATAAGTTACTTGATATTTTTAGTACAGAAAATTGCAATCTTTTCAAGTCATAGTATGGGGACGGGAGGGTCATGATTTTTAAGTACAAATTGCAAGCACAAAAAAAAGGTTGAGAAATAATTCAGTCCAATAAAATTGGAAAAATAGCAATGTGATCCTTGAAACTTCCACCAAAAATCAAATTCCTGCAATTCCAAAAGCAAATTTGAATCAAGCATGCATTCTATTATATGTGATAAGCACAAGCAGCACAGAAAGGTCAACGGTCTAAAAGATGAACTCAAAATTGACATAAAATGATGGATGAATTCAGATGTCATAAGCACAGCTCTTTGATCAGAGATCAGATCACAACTCAAAACATGCCAGTCTGTGATTCAATCCAGTCTCATGACCTCTGGATGTGAAGTCTAACTTTCCCAAAGACATTCTTCCCATTCCCAAGCACCAGCTCCTATATTCCTTCTTCTGACAACCTGTGGAAAGATATGGGTGAGCTGATCTGAAGTTAACCCCCTTTCACTGGTGACCATGATCCAGTCATTTGAGGGCTATGGACATGTGTCAACATGCAACACTTTTGGTTATGTGAAATTCAATGCTTTTGAATGGGGGAAGGGAGAGATGTAATTTCCAGCCTGAGGAGACATATCCGTGCTAGCTTTGATTGAGCTAGTACGCTAAAAACAGATCAATAGCTGCAGCAGTGCAAGTGGAAGGAGAGGTTAACTGCCTAAGTATGAGCCCATCCGAGATGCTAGATACTTACTTGGGTGGCTAACCCCTGTGCTACTGCACTTAACACTTCTATTTTTAGCATGAGAGCTTGATCAAAGCTAATGTGGGTATGTCATCTCAAGCTGGAAATTACACATCCCAGTTCCAGTATAGGAACATCTTAGATTTTCACTGTTACAACGGGTTAGTGTCCACATTTAATGTCTTGTCTTGCAGGACTACTTTGTTCCTGAACTATTTGCACTGCTTGTTAATGATAAAGTTATCCCCTTTTCAGATGAGCAGTTAAAATTTTCTCTAAGTCTTTCAGTTTGTTTCCGTTATAAGAAATTGAGAATGGAATTTGGTAACTTTATACATTCTTTGTAAGTAAACAGGATCACATCAAAGTCTAGTTTCTCTGAAAACAGAAGGAATCAATCAACTACAAGAGATATCTTGTTTGACTGTTTCAAACCTCTTTTAGTCAGCACTCTACCCAAAAGCTCTGTGTGTCTGTTTTTCTCAGGCACATGGTCCCAGAACTTGTTCAGATGGAGTCATTGACAAAGGATTGTGCTCCTTTCTGATATTTTGGTGTTTCTCCTACTTCTCTCACATATCCATGCCCCCCTCCAAACAAATTTCCACTGCGCTGTAAGTAATATTATGAACCTAGTAACTGTTCTTTTCTGTATTTGGACATGTTAGGAGAAGGAAGATGTGGGTACTGACAGACAGAAGTTATCGTTTTTATTTCTTATTTTCATATACAACCTGTCACATCTGATTAACAATACTGGATTTGTTGGATGTTGTGTTAGTGACGAGATTCAAAAGAAATTGCCACAGGCACAAGGAAACATCTTTTTATTAGAGAGGCTAGCTACTATACACAGATTCAATGAGATGTATGTACAATCCGCTTATTGCCAAAACAGATGTTTAAAAATTCTTCAAAATCAGTCAAGAATTGGAAGAAAATGAACAGCCATAGTATCAGAAGTCCAGGCAGCCCACTTCAAAAATAAATTCAGTTCTGAAAGGTAAATGGTTATGAGGTCTACACTGGAAAACACTAGCTACCCTGCAGAAAAAAAATGGGATTTTGCCACATTATATTAGCAACTGATCCAATCAAACTATTGCCTGGTTTGATCTTAGAGTGAGTGAACCACAAACAAAATAGCACAGGCCAGCCTGGGATCTGCTTTTGCACAAATGTGGGAGGGGGACCCAGAGGGTCATTCAAAAAAAGCCTTTCCCTCACTTCAAGGCTTGCTGTTGTGATCAGTCCTTGTATAGTCTCTGAACAGGGGTTGTTTGGGCATTGTTCAGAAAAAGGCAGAACCACAAACCTGCCCAAACACCACATGGCCCTGTAGAGTTGAGTTAGTGCACCAAAGTCTGCATGGCCCTAATGAATATTGCTGTGTGCGCTCTGCAGGTCAGCTACAGAAAGATCATGCTTCTTGAAGGACAATTTTTTCTGAGGCTCCCCCAAGGATGGTGACACTCCACAAAGCCTCTTTGCACAAGGCTTTGAACCTCAACATGCTCTGACATCTAGTAAGAGTCAGAGGTGACATGAAGAAATGAGAGGTACAAACATGACTATTTATATAATATAGATGCTTATCTAAATTAATTTTTAAAACAACTCTCAACAAAAAAGTTACATGTGCAAGAGGCACTTTCGGGGGGGGAGAGAAGAGCACCTCTCACAAACATAGCTGGATTAGGTAAGGATAGGTGAGTGCCACTAGAATTAATTTAACACCAAACAGCTGACATATGAGGGAGTCTCATATTCCCTTTGATGCAGACAGGATATACATGAAAGATCTTTGAAAATATTAGGAGATGCACGTTTTCCCGACAGGCTGGAAGAATATATCCCTGTATTGGTATAACTTAATTCACACTCCAAAACTCTGCTCTATTTACAGGCACACTCCCATAGACACTTCCACATTTTGAATACCAAGAAGTTATCTTTAGTCACCAAGCAACGTGATTTTAAAAGCACAGATTTTTTGAGATTGCTAAAAGGAGAGGGACTGTACAGGCAGGAAGGAAACATTAGCAGAAAGGTGTCAGCAGTGTTTATTCTGAAGAGAAGCGTGGCTGCAGGGGCCAGAGCAGATATGTTAGAACATGGACCCTGACTTGCCACAGTTTTGGCATGCTTTCCAATGCCTGCTTCTCCCTAGTAAATACTTCTGATGAACCTGGTTAGTGAGAACACTATAACTTTATTCCTGTTCCTTCAGAGACCACTTGCTTCAGCACAATACTTTAATGTGGTTTTTAGGAGTAAAGTAGAATGTTACTTTTTTGCAGACTGACAGATTACATTTTGTACAGTACTTTGTAAAAGTAGAAAGTGGGCATTTCAGAAACTTGTTTCTACTGATCTGGAAGTTTTGTATATACAAAAGGAAATTTACACCTGATTTATACGCAAAAATTTAAATTCTCTAGCACTGCATGTCAAATTGAGGTGAATAAAGCTACTGTATGACTGCTGTCACCTTAACACTAACCACCCAAAAGTTCATGAAACCAATTTAACACGCTATTTCAATTGAAGCATATTATTAAAACTATCCACAGCATTTTGAACACAATATCTACACTTCAAAATTTCAACTAAACAGCAACACAAATCTTAGAGGTTACATCTTGGAAGTGAAATAAACTATTGCTCAATGTTTGAAAAGTAAAGCTATTGGTTCGTAGGTACACTTCACTCTCTTGCTTATGCGGATACATAAGGTGGTGGGGGTTCTTTACCAGCTGCATTTGCAGGATCATCATACGGTGGCAACAGCACCTAAGGAAGAAAAAATATTTTTTGAAATTAGCTGGCTAAAGTGTACGACAGGAATTTAGGATCTTGTCCTTCAAAATAATTAAATAACTAAATAAAATAAAAGCTGCCTAAAAATAAGAGATCACAGTTAAAATGTTATTAGTGAAATAAATACATCACTGCAATCTTATTTTGTTTCCATTATGAAGGGCAATTAAATTTCTTATAATTTCTTACAATCCCCTAGTCACAACCCTAAACATGACAGTCTCAGAAGATGATTTTGACCATCATTTCCTGATCTTTGATTCAATTTGCAGAGTCTATCAGTGACTGATTGTATAGTAGCTTGTACAGCAAAACTTCAAAGAGCTCTATTGCTACTGGAACCAGACATACTAGAGAGAAAATAATAATACTTAAGAGGAATTAGGAATGTTAATATTACATTAATCAACTCATTGTATACTCAATGGAATTTCCATTGACTATTCGATTAGTTAAGGGCGCTTCCGCTTTGAAATGTAGCAAGTGCCCACATGGCTGCCAGCAGGGACTCTTGTACATTTCAAGATTAAAATGCCATGTGGAGCCCGGGGCCAGTGAACGACACCCTGAGTCCTCTGCTAGCTCCAGGCTCCATGTGGTGCTTCTGCTTTGAAATGTGCAAGAGCCAAGTGGGAATGCACTCCTGCCCCCTCCGACAGAGCTGGAGCTTTTAAGCCGGCTCCCCCCCATCACTCCCTTCTCTTTTCCCCCCTTGCTGCCTCTCCCGGGGGGTGGGGGAGAAGGGAGGGTAGAAGGAAGAGGGAGCAACTAGTCGACTAATGTGTCAACTACTGTAGTCACTTACATCCCAATAAGAAATGTCTGCACATTTCCTAAAATATACCAGTATATGGATGTTGCATTTGGTCCATTTACAGAGTTACTTTATGTAGAACGAGACCCTTGTGTAATAGCCTCTCAGTCATGAGCTGATCTTGAAAAGTAAATCTGAACAACTAAATATACATAATGGGATAGCCTGAATACACAGAAGTCAATGGGAGCTTTACCATAGGCTTCAGTGGGTCCTGAATTTCACCCTTATTCTTAAGTCAATAATTTGCCTTCCAAAAATTAACATTATTTTCCATTTAGGATCTGAGCCAAAACACACTGAAATTGATAGGTCTCTTCATTGACTTCAGTAAATTTTCAGTGGGACCTTCCTAGCAAAGTTCCAAGAATGAGTTAGTCATATTATACATATGTAAGCTCTCACACTTCCATATCAGCGTGTGCTTCTATAAACATTTGATGAATTAGAAAACAGACATACAAATATCTTCAGTCTTGCATCAAAATGAGACTAGGAGTACTTTAAAATATTACTAACCCATTTGATGAGGATATGACTCCAGAGTTAACAATGCCATATATTGGTGCTTGGAAGTGCTATATCACAAATATGCTACCAAATAAACAAGTTCTCAAAAGTTTTGCATTAATCAAAGAAGCATTTAATATTTTATGTCAGTTCTAATGGGCACTGCTACAAGTATGGAAAAGAGGGACCCTGTTTGCAGGACTGATGATACGTTCCAGAACCCAAATTGAGGCTGGTAGCTAATAAAATCCTGACCCAACAGTAATCACACTGGGGTAGGACTTGAGTCCAGAGGAAGAAGTAAGACATCCCCACCCCCACAGAGAGAGATGGCTGAGAGAAGGGTCTGGGCTACCTCAGTTAAGAGGTAACAATTTTATCCTCCTCATCATGCAAAAGCATCTATCTGGAGTAATCCAGACTTGCAAATTGGGGAAACCCTTATAATTCAGAGGAGCTGGCTGAGCAAGGGAATCATGTGGATTTCCCAATAGTCAAAGATGAAAACTTTGTCTCTTTACTAACACTGAATCAATTATATGACCTGCCACCCTCAGGCTACTGCTACACTGCCTTTTTTTTCGGAAGTTATGAAAATAGCGCTTGGATTTGCATGTCTTCTTCCAATTCTTTTTGCAAAAAAGGTTTTTCCGATATTTGGCTCCGTGTAGACTGAGCCAAATGTTGGAAGAAAAAAAAAAAGCCTTTTGCAAGACTGTGTAAATCTCGATTTATGAGGAATAAGGGGTCTTGTGAAAGAGGGTTTTCCCCCAACATTTGGCCCCATTTATATGGGGCCAAATATCAGAAAAACCTTTTCTGCAAAAAGAATTGGAAGATATGCAAATATGAGTGCAATTTGCATATTTTCTTCTGAAAAAAAAATGGCAGTGTAGCCATAGCCTCAGAGTGGCAGTGCTTACAATTGAAACTTGTGCTAACATATCGATTTAGTTCAGAGGCCCCAAAGCTACCTCAAAGCTTCAGAAACTCCTCAGATACATGTCCATTGTATATGTACTGCTAATAAAGAGGAACTCCAGCTGTACCTCTGTGTGCTTCTTGCTCCACTCATCTGAAGAAGTGGGTTGTGCCCACAAAAGCTCAAAATACTATGTAAATTTTGTGTTAGTCTAAGGTGCTACAGGACCACCCATTTTTTTAAATTACAGACTAACATGGCTACCTCTTTGAGTCCATTGGTCTGGAGTTCTTTGTGAAAGCATGAAAAGAATTAATGTAGCCCTTAAAAGAACCCCAATGGCAGAGCACATTATGGAAATAAAAATGATAAAAATGCTTCTGTGGAATCTCAAACTATGCCTGAAACAGCAAAAGTCTATTCAAACTGTATTGGACATCACAAAAGTTATGCAAGACAGGGGCCTTTTCTTCTTTGTTTGGTTTTCTTTCTGAGGTTTGTTGACATTGTAATAAAGAAAAAGGAACCCTGATGCATGTGCTGTAGGAGTGTCCCAACAGGTAGGCAGCTATGGAACAAGGTGGATGCAAGAATGAAATAGTATTTGGCTTTAGAAATTAAACCTCAACTGAAAATTATTTCCTAGATTATGTACCTACTATGCTGGGTTTAACTCCAGGGACACAATGATTATCAGTGTATAATGGAGAAGTAGGCATATGTCCAGAAAAGAACACTGGCATTTGGAGTCATCTGAGTTAGCGCCGAAAGAAAGAATAGCTTATTGTCGTAGAAACATGAATTGGAAGAAATATAAATGCTGTTCTGATACATTTTGAAAAAAGAATAGTGAGATAGGTCACATGGAATGCTATTAGTTGAGCTTTCTGCATTTTCCCTTCCTCCTCATGCCCTCACGTTATCCCTACCCTAAAATCTTACATCAGTGTGATACAGTCTGATTTTGTATAATCTGTTCTTGCAGCTTTGACAAGTCGCATAATTGCATATTTCTATTGGATAAGTGGTGATGTGTGGTATCCGATGACAACTCAGTTTGTATGACACGTATTTTTAAGAAAAAGAAAACAAAAATCAATCACAAAAAAGTTATGTTCATGAACTCAAGTCCACACCCAACTTCATGCTTACTCCCAAGCTTCTTCCCTCTTCCTTTAGCTCTTTTGTTACCCCTGACTACTCCAAGCCTTTGTATGGCTTCTGAGGGGGGAGAGGAAATGTGGTTCTCTACTGTAGTTTAAATTCACTCAAAATTTGATATTTGTGTGTCTAGTAAGGAATTTGTCAAAAAACATTTCCTGAATGTTTTTCATTGTCTGGCTTGTTAGACATACTTGCTAACAGGTATTTTGAAATAAATTACAAAAATAATTGAACCTAATGTGATTATATAGCTAGACAAATAAAATATGCAGAATTTTGTAGAATTTAAAATAGTGTGCAGACTTTTTAATTTTTAGGTACAGGATTCCCCCAGGTATACACCTTGCACTTCCAGGGAACAGCTGTCTTTGGCCCCGAGGCCCTAGAGAACACTCTCTGCAGCCCTGCTGACATGGAAGTGAGACTGTGTCCTGACAGCAGGGCTGAATAGAGCTCTATGCATGGCCTCACTGCCAATGACACCCGATTCCTCCAGGTTTAAGATGGGGGTAGGGAGCAATGGTCTTGGTAGGGAAGAGCAGAGCCTTCCGGCCAGCACTGCAAGGAGGATAATGACAACAAGCCCCTGGCCACAGAGATGTCTATTCCACTGCTGAAGGGCTCCTGTGGCTGTGCAGGGAGCCCCCTGTAGCCCCTCTGTCTCAGATGTACTCACTCACCAGCTGGGAATGCTCTGCTGGGACTAGTCTTCCCCACTCCTTGTGGCTGCAGGATCAGATGTCACCAGTCCCGTGGCCAAGCATGGAGACAACATTCCTTCACCACACGCACTCTTACATTGCTACATTTATTCCTTACTGAACATAAAGGCCTCAGTTCTCCATCTTACAGTTAATTTTTAAAGCACAAACGGTGCTCTATCCAACTGTGGGTAAGCTTAATAAAGTAAACGAGCAGTCACTCACCATCAACTCATATAATGAAGCAATGTTTAATGAATGGCTTTATTCTTGCATCATTAAAAGATCTTTCTATTGACGTCAGTCAACTTTGCAACAGGCCATAAGTGCATTGAACAGTACAAGGTGTTACAGAAAAGCTTATTTAGATGTTTTGGCATGCAATACATGGCATGCCATTCTCTTGGACCTTTGTGGTTCCTATGGCAAAGGATTTGTAAGCCAAAACACTACTTGGTCCAGGTTTAAAGAAAAAAATTTCTGAAACACTACTGTAAACAAGAATGAAGCAATGATTAAAGATCTCCATTCTAGAATTGTTAGCGGTAAATATTATCCTGTTTGCTTTATCATTTTTTCCTTTCCAAGAGTCCCTATGGCAGCAGCTCTTCAATCATCTGTTGAGAAAGTCAGCCTAAGGTTCCCCCTTGCATGGAATAAGTTTAATACACAGTTGGATTTCTTTCAGACAGAGTAAATCATAAAACCAAATACCAAGGTTTATAATAAAACAATTAATTTTGATAACTGAAATAAATCAAAGTGAAACCAAAAAAATCAACATTAAATTCTAAGTGTGTGCCTGAAATCCTGAACTAGATTCCATTCCCAATGCAGTTTATTCTGAGAGCAGTCTAATGAA